GCTAGTCATGTCCTCCTAAATGACTTTGTAACCCACCATCTGGGAAACACTGCTGCAAATGTCTGGGTTACAGGTGAGAGGGAGGCCAGGTGAATGTTTGACAAGGGTCACCCTCAGCACTGACCTATAAATTAAGCCATGAAAACCAATGCCTTCCTTTCCTCCAGCTGACGAGAGCCTTCTTTATGAAATATGGCGACCAACACCCTGTCAGAAAATTAATTATCCTACTACCACCAAGCCTTGATCCCACATCCCAGAGTCTCCGGGGGAAAAAGAGTTCATAACATAAAGGCCACACACATCTTTGAGAGTTCAAAGTAAGCCTCACTGCCAACTCACAGAGCACACTGAACTACAAATTACTCACGTTTATGAAATATCTTCATCCCAAGACTGAATAGGGATTTTCCTTGCAGAAGGAAAGGTTACAGACTATTTAGATCTTCTAAGTTTGAGTTCAAGGCCATGGTGCTTAGAACTGGGACAGGAAAAATAGGAAACAATTTCTCCTTGTAAAGTTGGAGTCCTAAATCGAAGCATGGAAAAGAGGCCAAGGGCCCTAGGCAAACATCTGCTGCTGGGTCACAGCTTGAACAAGTGCAAGCCCAAGCTCAGCAATGCTTGGCTTTGAAGAATGAGAGCCCAGGGGATTATTAGAGGCCCCATGAAAAACAACAACATGTACTGAAAAGCTGATTGAAGGAGGAAAGTGGCTTTTCCAACCCAAAGGATATTATTCTCCTCAGTCAAATTTAGTTGCTTTTACCTATGAGTGGCACAAACAGCTAAGCACTTGACTATTAGCTGAAAGGTTGGCAGGTAGAGCTCACCTGGAGGCCTCTCAGAAGACAGGCCTGGTGAATTGCTTCCAAAAAGTTACAGCCTTGAAAACTATGGAGGCTCAGTTCACTACTCTGTACACATGGGGTTGCCATGGTCAGAACCAGCTCAACAGCAACTAACCACCACCAACCACCTTTGTTAAGTCAGAGTGTCTGTCCAGCATAAATCAAGGAACATTTATATAAATGAACCCATCAATTTTGGACTTTAGAAATTGCATTTTTTTAAAAAGTTGCAGTGTACCATTTGGTTGAAAAGCCATGTTACTATCAGGTTTTGGGTGTTTTTTTTTTGTTTGTTTATTTAGGGGAAGGAACAAATGAAGAGGTAGGAGGACGGGATAGTCATTCAGGAGGCAAGGAGCTTCTTTTCCCACGTTGAGACTGAAGCTCTGTGTTTATAGGAGACTGCTGATGATGATTGCATGTCTGGGCAGCTCTAACACTCAGCTCAAAGAATCAGGCCTTCATGGCAAAGGTCCCAGAGAGTCAGATTCAATCTTTCCTCCACAAAGTATTAAAGCAGCAAAGAGAAGTTAACATTAAAATGGCAAACTACAGTTAATTGAAGCGGCTGGCTCACAATGGTCTTTCTCAGACTCTGGCTCTATCTCATTCTTCTCTGGCCCCCCATTCTCCATCTCTATCTTTTCCCCAATGACTTCTTCCATATCAATTTTCCAGCTGACATCTAATTGCTCTATGGAGTTTTCAAGACTGATCTTTTTAGGAGATCTCTAGGCCTTTCTTTCAAGGCAACTTAGGTGGCTTCAAACCACCGAATTTTTGGCTAGTGCCAGAGGACTTAACCATTGGCACCACCCAAGGACTGTTCTTCCCATAAAACCAAACTCATTCATGACAATCCCGATTCAAGGTGACTCCAGGTGTTACAGAGCAGAACTCCTTCCCAGGGTTTTCTTAGCTATACTCTTTATGGAAAGGCTCTGTAGCAGTGCAACGATTAAATGCTAAGGCTGCCAAGTGAAAGGTTGGGGGTTCAAACCCACTCAGTGGCTCTGAGGAAGAAAAGACCTGGTGGCTTGCTACCGTAAAGATTATAGCCTAAGAAATCCTATGGAGCATTTCTACTTAGTCACAGTGGGTCACTACAAGTCAAAATCTGACTCAAAAACACCACTTGACAACAACAATCCTTATAGAAGCAGATTGCCAGACCTTTCTTCAGTGTTACTGCTGGATGAATTCAAACTGCTACCCTTTCGGCTAGGTGTGCTTTTTAAGTGCTGTGGAGTTGCTTCAGACTCATAGTGACCCTGTATGGGGTTTCTGAGGCTGTGTATCTTTACTAGAGCAGAAAGTCCCCTTTTTCTTCCATGGAGTGGCTGGTAGGCTCAAACGGCCGACTTTGTGGTTAGCAGTACAGTGCTTATCTTACAAGCCACTGCTCAAACCATTTGTGCCATCAGGGACCTGTTTCTCTTTCCAGAGACCCTCCTTATTCCCTGTAGCAAGTCCCTGCTCCTTTCAGCAGAAGTACAACAAAGCTCTGGGTAGTATACACTAGAGGCACCTTTTTGTCTGGAACCCTGGTTCTGGGCTGTCTCCAGATCACATCGTTATGTCCAACCCGAACCTCTGCTCATCTCACCAAGCCCGTGAGGCCTCCCTTTCCTGTCCAACAGGGCACACTCGCTGCTGTCTTCATCCAGACCTGGGAGCCTGTCTGGCATCTTCATCAGCCCCACCCTGCTGCTTCCACCCTGTTAATATTCTGAGAACAAGTACAGTCTAGATGTACCCACCCCTCAGCAAGACTGCAGAGGAAGAGGAGACTATCCGGGGTGTTAGAAGACAAGTCCAGATTTGGAATGGAAGGTTTCCAGTACACTCTGAAGCCTGGGTGTGAATTAACTGAGAAGCAGGAGAAGGAGGAAGAAAAGTTAATAAGAGAAAAAAATTACACTCTTCCAGCTGAAAGGAGAAAGGGAAGCAAAAAAGGAAACTGGGTCAGGGATGGGGGGGGGAAGGGGCAGATTGCAGTTTCTTGGATCCAGAAATGATTTGTGTAAATTCAGCTCCATTCAGCCTTGTAGTCAATTGGATTCTTGGCAGGAAAAAAAAAACAAAATCATTGAACTAATTGAATGATGCTCAGAGATAGCCAAAAACCAAACCCTTAAACATCCACCGTCAGCATTTCCAGAGTTCTTGTCATTTCTAAAAAGGGCATGGCGTTACTCATCTAGCTATAGCGCTGATGAATAAATCTCTATGGAATCACAGAAGGAACTCTTGTGGTGCAGTGAGCTAAGCGTTGGACTGCTAACTGAAAGCTCAGCGATCTGAACCCACCAGCTTCCCTAAGGGAGAAAGATGTGGTTGTCTGCTCCTGTAAAAATTTACACCCTTGACAATCCTATAGAGGAGGAGTTCTACTCTGTCCTATAGGATTGCTATGAGAATCAACTAGCTGGCAGTGGGTTTATGTAATCATATTATCTCTACCTCTTACCCGCCATGGAACTTAGCTGCTTGAGACAGGGCACATTCTAATTCTCCCGAATGTCTCAAAGTACTCAGATCACAGTGTTTAGGATGTTTGGACCACACCTCCCAGAAGTACATAATAATCATCTTCAAGAAGCACTGAAGTTATGTGCTTTCATTCTCCCCAAAGACTAACAAGGCCAGGAGCTCATAGAGATACATTAACATAATTTATTAAATTCACCATACAAAGAATCTGTCACAGGGGAAAAAACAATCAAAAGCATATATATGTATATTAGAACTGGAAAGGCCCTTGGAGATCATCTAGTCCAATCCCCTCATTTTACCTGAAGTCCCAGCACTCTGTGGTAGAAAGGGCCAGAACATGAGCCCAGTCCTGAATGACAGACATACACATACTTAAGGCTTCTGGATTTCAGCCAAGTAGAGCCTAAAGACTTAATCCATGTTTACTTTTAATTTTACTGTTTCCTATATTACCACACTCTGATGCTTATCTCTGTAAAGCTACAGGAAAAGTCCTGAAGAAAACTCAGTGAGCTTTGCGTCATTCAGAGCCAGGGTAACAGGCTGATTACATTACCCTTCCTCAAGAGTCCTGATGAGGAAGAGATCCAAACGACATACACAGAAAACCCAACACCTCAGGGTAAATATCCTTGCCTTCCTGAGGTCAGGTTTGAAGGATGAGAAAAGAAGCAGGTCAAGGAAGGAGACAGATTTATAATAACGTCATTCTGAAGTCAACAGATCCAGTGGGAACAATGCTTTTCCTAGTTTCAAGAAAAGCCTAACATCGTAAGAGAAGGATGTAGAACTTTGGTATTAAACCAGTTGTGGGATGTAAGCAAAAACACCAATAAATTAGACAAATAAATACAATTGGGGTTTTGCCAAGACCCATGTAACCCTGTGAAAACATAATTTGTAAACTTTGGGTAGAGGAAACTGGGGTGCACTTTACACTGCACCTGAGGGAAAAACCTAAGTGATTCTGGGAGTCTTCACAGCAGAGAGAAGTCACACATAACTGTTCGTGGGCCTAGAAAATCTGCTCAAAGCATTCCCATCTTTCCAGAAAAACAAGGTCATCAATGTTTAGGTTCACTGACTCTGACCAGGCCATGAGAGGCAGTCTCACTGTCTATCTGTAGGAGGCCCAGTTCAGCATGGGCTGAGGGTGGAGTATGTAGAAAAACAAACAGTTGGTTGCTAAGAAGCAAGCTGTGTTTGCAGAAGGAACTTCATCCCCCCAGGACATTCTCCAATCCCGGTGGACAGCGGTGTCTCCAGGTTTTAGGGCTGAGGCAAATCTTGACACTCTCACAACCCAAGGAGGGCCTGGCTTCTGGGGCAGCTGGACTCCAGTCTACAACCGAAGGAGGCTCTGCTATACAGAAAACTAGTAACTAAGGTCCTAAGGAGACTGCCTTGGCTCCTGCTGGTAGGATAATGGCTTCCAAAGAGCTGTGATGTCCAGAGGAGACTCTCATCCTCCGTCTGCCCAGCATACCAAGAAGAAGGGTTTGGAAAGGGAACTCATGAACGTGAAGCCCTGAGTGCAATCAGGGAACAGTCAGGAAGTCAAAAGTCAGTGCTAACAGCCTACAGGGGTGGTGGGCTTCTCCACAGGCAAGAGGCGGCAGCAACAGCAGTGTCCATCTCCCATCTCTGTCCAGTTCAGGTTTCCACCACTCGGATTAGAGGCATGGGCTTAGGGTTGGGCGGCTTGGATATCCGAATGCTGAAAGAAAGTTGCAAACACTGAGTATTGTAATGTTGCCCATCCTTCACAGAACCTCCCATCACATCTGCCCCTGGAATCCTACTCAGTGTTGGCTGATCTGTTGGGGTCTAAACACTTGAAAATGGTCATTACCATGGCATCTAAAATTTTGTCTGATGGCTGGGGCAAGGAAAAGAGAGGGGCCGTTAAATAACTGAGAAGTGGGTATACTTGTGATCTTGAAAGCAAAAAACTATCTCCTAAGAAAGATGCAAACATTATGTATAAGCAATTGTATATAATTTCAGGGTATACACACCCTTTCTAAAAGCTGTTCATGGACCCTCTTGGGGTCAAGATATCATACTAGGTTAGAAAATGGTGCTGGCAGAGAGTGAGTCAGTTGGGAACCTGCAGGAATAAAATTGGATTTATAAGAGCCTTATCCTTGCCTTAGTTCTCAAGGTTACTCGGAGCTCAGTCCCTTCTTCTCTTCCTACCTGGGCCCCATTTCATCCACTCACCTGCCCAGGTTCTCTGTTTTGGCCCGGGTTTGGGTGCTGAAGTTACCATGGCTGACTTGCTTTTCTATTAGGTGTTCCATCCGGTCATGCATCTCTAAATTCTGTAACATAAGCTCTGGGGTTAGAATTGGCCTTTTTCTGGATTGCTATTTGTCACATTCAACTGGCTCATTATGGCCTTTCCATTCGTGGATGTGCTGCTGCCGCCACCCCAACCCCTACCTTAAACTCTACCACCAGGATACCCTTTCCCCTCATCTCTTATTCCCAAGGACTCTCTTCCTCCAATCTCTGTTTCAGCCTCCATCGCCAAGAGTATGTTCACTCAGTAACTCTGCAACACTGATCATTTCCTGCACATCTTATAGTCAGTTTGGCTAGTCATTCACTTACCCTTGCTAAATATACTATTCTAAAAAATACTCAGGTCTTTAAAAAAGCATTTCTATATTTTAGGTCTTAATTTTCTTTTTCTTTTAAAAATATTCTTCCTAGGTATTTTCTTCCTTTTTTCTTATTTTACCTCTAACTCCAGACCACAAACTCCCTGAAATAAACAACCCTATTTCCCATTTCTTTGTATCTCTCCCACCACAAGGGATAGTCAGACAGTGGCGGCAAAGCACCCTTCAGGCAGTCAATGGACAGGAAGGGCTCTGCAGCAAAGAGGAAATTAAACTAGGAGTCAATTTATTAGCTAATCCAGCCCATCACCTCAGCTATGGAGAAGACTCAACCTATCAGATGCTTCCTCCTCTTAAAGGTGCAGCTCCATGGCTAGCTCCTAGGCAAAGCCCACACATGATGAGAATTAAGGGTTTGCCTCCATCTTGCCATAGTACAGGGTTTATCCTATGATGATACAGTCCTTGAGAACAAGGATAGGTCACTGTCAGCAACTTCCTTAAGCTTCTCAGAAAATGTTTTCCTAAACTGAGCTGAAGATCAACTCACCATCCCAGATACTCAATTCTGAGCAGTAGGTAGAAAGAAGCACAACCCCACAATCACCTCCCCTGGGTCGACCCTTCCCTTTAAGAGCCCTGCTTTCCTTCCAGGGGTGGCCTGGTACACACACCTCAGCCTCCAGGTAGGCAACTTTCTCCTTGAGCTCCTGAATGGCCGTGTCCTTTGACTGGATCACTGCTTTTGAATTCTGGAGCTGGAAGTGGGGAGACACGGGAGCTCATTTTGAAATGACTTATCACATGCTCATTGAACTTTGCCCCGACTATTGGAGGAACCAAGAAGAGATGAAACACAGAGTTGTGTACCTCTCCCAGAATTTACTTTTTTAGAAAAGTCTCATTTTAGCCAACATTCATCCCTTGGTTATTTCAGGGGAAAAAAAGAGGATGTGAGAGATATGCTACCCTGACAACCCATAATAATGAATGATTCAAAATCCCTTTCATTTGGTTTTGGGAAATACAAATTACTTATTGTCTCATGAAATAGTTATTGTAATACTTACTACATGGCAGGCCCTGCTCTAGATAATGAGAAACAGCAGTGAACAAAATGGATAAAAACCTCAGCCCTCATGGAACTGATATGCAGCAAATATGCCCTCCCATGTGTTACTAGGTAATGCACTGAGTGAGTCGAATGTACCCAGAGACACCTCAGAAGAAAAGGCGTGGCAGTCTACATCCAAAAACTCAGCCACACAAAGTCCTATGGAAACAGTTCTACTCTGACATACACAGGGTGGTCATGAGTTGGAGTGGACTCAACAACAACTTTTTTTTAAAGTTCTTAAAATAATTCTGAAAACTGGCATATCCTGAGTATGAGGGAAGCTTCAGAAAGTTTGTGTAAAAATGGAACTAAAAGGTAATGAAACTTTTCCATGAACTTTTTGAAGCCTCCTTGTATACTACGTCCTAGAGCTCAGGTGGTAGAAGACAGAAAATTAGTCATAAGGCAAGATGGTTGCTAATCTGTCCACAGATCATTGATTTTACTATAACTCAGGTACTCATTTACAAGTGCTCTTCTTTTCCCAATGGCCAAAAATGTACAAGATGGATAAGAGAAAAGCAAATCCCAGTAATCCAGATTCTAATAATTGGCAGTTATAAATGTTTTATGGGCAACACATGGGTATTAAGCCAAGTTCCATGCCAGAATAAATAAATAGAAGTTTAGATTTGACAGGAAAGAAGGGCTAGACTCAGTGAAGTGGCCCAAAGAAGAGTAACATCTGCCCCTCTTACCTGTTCTATCATTTGCCGTACTTTGCGCTGCTGGCTCTTAAGCATGTCATCCAAGTGGTGGATCTTTTCCCGTAACCCAGCTACCTCCTTTTCCAGGTTAGCAGCCCTGGGGATAAAGACCAGACGGCTGAGACAAGGGAAAAGATGGCTTGTCTACTCAGTTACAGAAAGAGCCGTGGGTTTACATCAGGGGTAATTCTATCTACCTGATCCTTAAGGGTCTGCCCTAAAAAATAGCTGGTAGGAGACCTTAGGACATGTCATTGGAAACATCACCAGAGGTCATTTAGTTGAAATGAGGAAACTGAGGCTCAGAAAATTTGGAAAGAATAGGTAAAATTGAAACCATTTGGTAGATGTTCCAAGAATTCAATGTTTATATTAACACAGGGAAGACTGATCTCAGGGTTAAAGCTGCCTCACATGTAATGAGCTCTCCATTATGGAAAGATTCAAGTAGGAGTCGGGATTATAATATGTAACACTATCAAACTGTTGGCAGGGTTTATACCAGGAGAAACTTTATGGCCTCTTATGTGAGGTTGGCACATTATGTTCTGTTGTACATAATGTTCTGTTGTACATAATGTGGCTATGAGTCGGAACCAACTCAACAGTATATGTTTTTATATGTAACACCATCAAACTGTTGGCAGGGTTTATACCAGGAGATCCTTTATGGCCTTATGTGAGGTTGGCACATTATGTTCTGTTGTACATAATGTTGCTATTAGTCGGAACCAACTCAACAGTACCTAACAACAACAACATAGCCTCTTCACACAACTCTATTTCTAAGTCTCCTGATTCCCAGACCATTGTTTTTGCAATTTCTAAGCAAACTGGACCACAGTCCTCAAAGGTTAAGTAACTGGGGAGAGTGTCTGGGAGCTTATGAAGAAATGTTGGTTCTGACGACCCTGCAGTTCCACCTGAGGAAGCTGACAAAGTTGTGTCACAAGAAAATGGGCAGTCATTGGCTTGGAGGGGGTGGGGGCTCAAGGCAACCTGAGTAGCCCAACAGTCTTCCTAGACTTCAAACGTTCTAGGTTTCTACTCTCAGTTCTCCAATATCCCTAGGTCTTGATCTTCTTTTATTTGGAAACTGACATTTCTAATACATTTTCCCAAGCCTTAGTTTTGGATGATCTGGTCCTTTTTGTTTCCCCTGCTTCTTGCTCATGAGGAATAGGGACCATTGGGCAATTTATTAAAGTAACTCTGATATGAAGTTCAGTTAGGAAGGAGGGCATAATAAGATGGCAGGCCTAGGTGTTATGTCTTAAGATGAGAAAATGTGCCCAGAAGACAGCGGAGGGGTCCCAATGCCCAGCCCAGTGCCGAGGCCTTAACAGAACCTCAATATAATATCTATGGAACTGTAAAAGACCCAGCCAATTCATACAGTGAGGATCAGACTCAGTATGTTGATGCTAAACTAAATTCCATTAAGCATTTGAGAGCTTCTTTAATTATCAACAGCATAAAGGAGGTCCAGAATGGCCCAATCATTGCTCTTTGAGCCCCTCTGGTCATAGGGCATTTGCCCAAACCTCTAACCTGGGAGGTAGAAAGGCTCTCATAGAATCCATATATGCCACTGCTGACAGGTGGTTCTGTTTCTATCTGAATTGCTTCAAATCATGGGAAGTTCCATTTCTTGTGAAATCACTCTTTTTTTTTTCTTTATCGAGAGGACTCACAGGAAATTATTGCATTTTTACCCTTAAGTAGTCTGCAGCTGAGGGGAAGAAACTGGTGAAGCCCATGTTGTTGTTGTTAAGTGCTGTTGAGTCGATTCCGACCCATAGCGACCCTGTATAGGGTTTCCAAGGAGCAGCTGGTGAGCTTGAACCACCAACCTTGCAGTTCAAGCGACTTTGCAGTCAGACGCATTAGCCCACAGCGCCACACCAGGACTCCGGTGAAGGCCATACTACGCCGTAATCTCTGGAATGACATGCTGTCACAGCAGACGCTTCACCTGCTCTCCCTTGACCTTTGCTTCTTTCTTTACTAATAACCTCAAGGAAAAAACCATAAAGGCTTTTTCTTTAGGTTATTGCTCCGTGAAAAATGAACTCCCCAGAGATGGCAACCTCCCAAACAGTATCTCCCTGGGCAGGGCCCCGCCCTGAGCAAGCATGTTGTGAGTCAAGGGTGGAGGATCTGATGTCAGCACCAGCTTTTCCCCTAGATCTGGCCACCATGGGAACCGCAGCCTGTGTGGCCCACCCGCCCCAAGCTGCACTCCAGCTACACAGTGAAAAGATCCTTACTTTTCCTGTTCTGCTCGGCAGTCAGCGCTCTGGCTGCGAAGTTCCTCCAGGGCTGTTTCCCCTTCCCTGACCTTCACCAGTAAGGCCTGGTGCTCCTGGGTGGGCCAAAGGAAGGAAAGTCTGGGATGAGAAAAGGGCCACAGTTTCTGTATTTGGGGTGAGATGGGTACCAGGGCTGAGACTCGGCCTCTCCAGGCCTGGGATAGCTGCCAAAGAGCAGCAGGCCAAGCTGGTTTGATGGGGCGCACTCCCCTATCAGGGATAACCCTTCCATCCTCAGCATATAGAAACTTCCCAGCCTCGCCCAGCTGCTGGGAGGGAAAGCTTGCCCTCCCATTGTTCAGGTCCACCTGCCAGCTATGGCGGCCACCCCGTGAGGAATCAGGCTAAGTGGCTGCTTAAGAAGTCTTCAAACCCCAAAAGGGGCAGCTATATAAGAAGAACCCATCTAGTTTTGGAGAGCTGAAGTTAGAGTGTTTAGAAAAGGAGAGGATCCGTGATCTTCCCAGTCATTCCCTGAGCCCCTTTCTCGCAGGGGTGGGGGGGTGGAGGGGAAGCCTAGGCAGTGAAAGTTACCGTTTCCATCCCTAACAGGCGCTTCTGCAGCTCTCCAATTTCTGCCTCTTTCTGCTCCACTCTGTCCTCTTCTCTCTGAAGAGCCACATTGCTTTCTTCTGCATCTCTCTGGTACCGGCTGAGCATGGTCTATAACAGGATAAAACCAAACCCAAACCTGTTGCCATCAGCTCAACCCCAACCCCAACTCCGTGTGTTACAGGGTGAACTGTGCTCTATAAGGTTTTCTCAGTGGTAATATTTACAAAAGTCTTTCTTCTGTGGTGACACTGGGTAGGTTCAAACTATCAAACTTTCTGTAAATGGGCTGGAACAAACCACTTGTGTCACCCAGGGGCCCCAACACAGGATGTTGTTGTCATTAAGTGCTGTCGAGTCGGTTCCGACTCATAATAACTCTGTATAGGGTTGCCGAGGAGTGGATGGTGGATTTGAACCACCAACTTTGCTGTGAGCAGTCCAGTGCTTATTCTATAGTACCACACCCAACACATGGGTATATGAGGGTATGGCAAAAGAGTATTGCTACAGAATCATAAAAACCTTTATAAATGTATCAAAATGTGAAGTTACTGTTTTTCAACATCTCCTTCATCTAGATTTGTACACTTCTAGAGGTGCTGGTCCCATCACACTAATCCTTCCCCAAAGAATTCTACCCTGTTTGACTTATAGCATGTTTTGTCATCCTCCAGGGACCCAGATTATGTTCTTTTGAAATGCTCTTTGAATTCTGAGAACAAAAAGAAGTCTGAAGGGGCAAGCTCAAGGCTGCAGGATGGATGGGGTAAGGTTTCCCAATGAAATTCTCCTCTGACAGCCCTTGCTACCCTTGAAGAATGAGCAAATACATTGTTGTGATGGAAAAAAAAATTCCTTGGAACAACTTTCTTAGTCTTTTTCCTCACCAAAGCAATTTTCAATTTTCTTAAAACTTCTTCCTAATAACCCCCATGATCATCCTGTGTCTTTTAAGAAAGTCTATCAAAATTACCCATTTGGAATCCCCCCAGGCAGTCACTCTGTCTTTAACTTAACTGGCCCAGTAGATCCCCTTGCAAGCCACTATTTTGATTGGATTTTGGTTTTGAAGGCAAAAGCAAGACAAAGTCACGCGTATTCCTGAGAGAACTTGTCTTCAGCTATCCACTGATGGCAGAGACATATTTAAATATATTTTGCTTGGAATAAACTATGCTTCTGTGAACTGAAGCCCTAGTAGCATTACTTTTTGACTTACTCACGTAACACCGTAGAAAAGAACCCAGGGCATGGTGGTGAGCTTTGAAGGCAGGATGGCAGAAAGGAGGCAACTCTGAGGACCAAACCACTTCTTCCCAAACACACAGCTCTATGACCACCACCTCGAGAGACCCTCAAACTGATTCCTAAGGCTAAGTGGCACACAGTTGATCAAGCTCCACTTTAAAGTGACACCTAGAGCCCCTAAGCACCATTTTTCAGATGGCTGAGCTCCCCACAAACCCTCCAGTGCCACCCCAGTTTAACCCAGTGATGTAGCTTCCTTGTTAATTTAAAAGCAGATAATCTAGGGGAAGACATTTCCTTGTCTTTCCTTCTGTTTCCCCACCTCTTTCTTATCCTCACTTGAACTAATACTTCAGTCTATATACAAAGGCCATGATGGCATATGGAAGGGTTATTACTATGCACTGGAAAGAATTAGTTTTTTCTTGAAGATGAGAAACCCATTTGGAAAGAATAAATGCAGGATTTTACAAATAGAAAGTCCCTGTCACTTGCCTCCTTTCTTTCCACCTGTGTCTTGCCAAAGTCTACTCATCCTTCAGGTCTCAGCTCAGATACCGCTTCTTCTGGAGAGCCTTCTGGACCTGGGAGTGATGCTCTTCCTTTGTATACTTTCAGAGAACACACACCTCTTCCTCTCCAAGCACATTGTGAATTTTACCTGCTTACTTGTATGTCCCAGGAGACTGTCAGCTTCATAATAGCAAAGACCTTGAGAGCTATGACATTTGCAGTGCGCAGCACAGTGCCTAGCTCACAGTGATTGCCCTGTGAAAGTGTAAATGCAATTTGATCATCACTGTGGTCCAATCCTGGCCTTCCAATAATGGTCAACGGACCATTTACAGCCACTGAGTGAAGGAGTCAGCGCTAGAACCCAGTTACTTCAATCATCGCTGTCAGTTCTCTCCCAATCATCCCAAACTGCCTTCCTCCACCCCCCCAGTGACTTTCTAAAAAACAATCTAGGTAACCACTGGAAAGCCTGGTCAATCCTGAAAAGACAGAATGCCAGCTTGCCCATCTCCTCCCAAAGTCAGAATCAGGGAGGAGAAAGCAAAGCGCAAGATGATGTGTGATGGAACGTGTCCAAGCTGCACACCTCCCCTGTCCAGAGCAAACTCTCGCTGCAAATCCTTCCTGACAGCAACAGCCAGCAGAACGGGAAACCCAAGCTCAATGGCAGGTTGTTTTCATGGTAGTTGACAATCCTGTCCTTCCTACTCACTGCTTCAGAAAGTAAACCCATTGCTATACATCTATTCCAACTCACAGAGACTCTACAGGAAGAGGAGAACTGCCCATAGGTTTACGAGAGTTGTCATCTTTACAGAAGCAGACTGTCTCGTCTTTCTGCTTAGGAGCTGCTGGTGGGTTTGAATTGTTGATCTTTTAGTTAGCAGTCAAGCTCTTAGCTGTTGTGCAACCAGGGCTCCTTACAGAAAAGTCTGGCAAAATCTAATTCATTAGGAGAGACTGAGAAAAGCCCTTGAAAGACCCCACAAGTCTGCAACAGACCAGTCCTAGGGAAGAACTTCCAGTAAGGCCTCTTACTTCTGTACATAAGGACTGTGTACTCAGCTTGACGTTACTCAAGCACAGTGTTAATGTGGCTGTGCTGCCATCACAAACTTAAAAACAGACTCCCTATCCACATCTGTCCATTTAGCACCAGTTAGCCCTGCCTCAAAGGATCCCCTTGATCACAGGAGGATGTGCCAACCAAGTCCAATAGCGAGAACCACCCAAGAAGCACCTCTGATTACAAGTGGAAGGTGTGCACCAAGGGGCTGGGTAGCAGGCATTCTCAATCCTGGGTGTATGGCTGCAGCTGTCACTTGTGGCCTCAGGCCTTTACTAAGATCACTTTTGCTCACACTTTGAAATTCAGGGTTACCAAAGCCCTTCCACAGCATGTGTGGCCAAAACCAAGAACTTCAAAAATGTCCACAATTTCCTATGCCTCTCAATACAGACAATTCTTTACAAAATTCATAGCCTCAATATTCCCTTCCTTCTGTTCTGCTCTAACAAACTTAGGGAACAGCTGGCTACCAAACTGCTAAATTGCCATTCCAATTTTGCAAATGGTAGATTCTGAAATCGGGGCAGCAGACTCCTTTCTGAGGCCAAAAGGATAGTACTCAATTTAATAGGCAGATTTCCTAAGAAAAATATAGACTGTATTTCAAAAGCCCTTAGGTTAATAAAAGGGCTCTCATACTTATCACTTCACTCAATTGGTACACTAAACTCATGAGGCCCAGTTCATGAACCCTTTTTACAAAAGTGAAAACTAATAATCAGGTTAAATTTTTTTCCTCAAATAAGACTTTAACTTAAATCTCGAGGCAGTCCTGATTCAGCCTGGTTTTAGTCATGGCCCATGAAGTGACACCGGAACAGATCCAAATTTTTGTGGGTGAACTAGAACGCTAAGTGGAATGGGAAAAATCACAAGTCAAAGCTAAAAAGAAAATTGATCTTCCTCTGAGAAAATATGGGCAATGTGCATGTTACATAGCAACTGCATTTCTTGCTTCTTTGAATTGAAAACAACAGTGCCTGGCTCAAAGATGGCGCAAACCATACCAGATGTTTGTTACTCTGCAGTTCTGGCATTAAGCCAAGGTCACATGTGAGATTCCTGAAAGGGCTGACTACTTCTCTTCCCAGTCTTCCATTCCAGGGCTTCGAGTCATAATTTTTCGCATCCTGGTTAGCATTCCAGACCACCCAAATTAAAAAAATTCGGGTCTGTTTCAAGTTTCCCTTCTCTGGCCATGATTGAACCAGTTCGAAGCCCTGCTTTCCACCAGTCACTAGCATGCCGGAGCAGGAGATAATCCTATTATTACATATTTACAATATTTTAAAAAAACTTTACATGTGGATGAACAAATAGCAGATGGTTCATCTCACACAGAGTGGATAGAAAAATACATCCAGTATTTGCCCAGTGAACCCCATTTTATACTTAGAGAATTTGCAAGAGACAATTAAAGACCTCATAAGTTTAATAGTGGAGGGGTGGGGGTGACCTTGACACCCTTTATTCATAGACTTCTGTATTTTTCCAGTTTTTATAATCTAGTATCCCTTACTAGTACTGTTGTTGTTATGTGCCGTGGAGTCAGTTCTGACTCATAGTGACCCTGTACAGGGTTTCCAAGGCTGTCAATCTTTAAGGGAGCAGAATGCCTCATCTTTCTCCTGCGGAACAGCTGGTAGTTTCGAACTGCTGACCATGAGATTAGCAGCCTGATTCGTAGCCACTACAGTACCAGGGCTCCTTGTTACTAGTACTAGATGATTATTTAAAATGGAAAAATACAGAAGTCTATGAATAAAGGATGAAATAATCATCTAGTATCCCTTAGAAGTCCTGGTGTGGCGCTGTGGGTTAATGCGTCAGACTGCAAAGCCATTTGAACTGCAAGGTCGGTGGTTCAAGCTCACCAGCTGCTCATTGGAAACCCTGTACAGGGTCACTATGGGTTGGAACCGACTCGATGGCACTTAACAACAACAGTATCCCTTAACAACAAGTATCACTTTGATAACAATAACTAAGATACTCATTCAGGACTACAAAGCTCTGAATAGGAAAACCCTTTTACTCTACAAACAAGTTCTTTCTACTATAATATAGATTCATCCACTGATCCAGGTCACATCTACAAAGCACCACCTAAACCAGGTATTGTACCAGACACCAGGGAGGCAGTGGGGAATGTATGGCAACAGCCTTTGCCCACAAGGTGTTTCAGACCTTGGTGATTCTTACTGAGGTGCATGTAGAAATGACTTCTGAACAACCTGCTCTCCCAGAGCAGCACCACGTTCAACTTCAGTAGAGCCAACCTTTGAACTCTGGGCCAACCCTGGATAGCCACCACTAAAAATGTCTAAGAAAGGAAAACCAGACAGGAGGCTCTCCAGGCTCAAAGACTTGCCTTTCCACTTGATGGCACCTAGGAAGAAAGCCATGAAGCCCATGCTGAAAGAGTCACTGGAAGCCCATCCCTTGGAGCACCTCCTGTCCAAATTCCAAATCTCACCTCGAAAGCCACTCTGTCTGACTGATGCTGCTGCTCCGCCTCCTGCAGCTTGGCAAGCAGGTCCCGCACAGTCTTCCTCAAGCTCTCAGCATCTTCATTCATAGAGATATCCACCTAGAATCAAACATGGGAAGGGAAAGTGACATCACTATTATGGTTTGTGACTTGGTATCCCTTAACAACAAGAGAAGGTCCCTTCACCCCTCCACTGGTTTGAATCATCTTGACCAAACCCTTACAAAAGGATTTACACGCAGCTCTGGTAGCATAGTGGTTGAGTCGGGCTGCTAACCTCAAGGTCAGCAGTTTGAAACTACCAGCCATTCCAGACAATTCACACTACTACCACCACCACCATCAAGGGATAGTTAATCTTAGGCACCAAAGAGCTTTGGATGTCTCATGAAGACGTTCTCCATTCATACTGGACACAACTCAACTAGCCTCAAATCACCTAATTATTCTGCAACCCCCTCAGTCATTCTGTATACACATGTCAATTGATTGGTTCCTATGTCCTGCTTCTCTCCTCCAGACTGGGGCTCTCGAGTTCCTCTTCAGCTTCAGCGGAAGGTTCCCTAAGGGCAGGGACCCATCACAATGGGAACATCCCAAAGCCACATCTTTTATTGTTCTTTGCACTTAACAGAGATCAGCATTTAAAGGGTTACTGATGGGTGGGTAGGTTTAGGGCAAATACACACAACTAATCCAGGAATCTGATTCGATGTAGGAAAAGGTGTCTCATCCAGAGTTACTGCTCAGGCTGTCTCCCAGACACACCCAATTGTGGGTTGATGGCTAGGGCTGAACTGACATGTAAGTTCTCGCCTCTATCTTGCTGTTGCACAGGCACCAGGGGCTTCAGTTATGAACTCCCTGTGATTTGCCAGAGAAAGTTTTTCCTGACTTGTGATACTTCCACATCAGAACACAGGGCTCTTGGTTAGGAGGAGGGAGACAGGGTATGTGTGTTTTCATTTCTTTTTCTTTCTCTGTGAAGCAGTGAAAAGACTCCTTACCACGCCTTGCCTTACAGGCTTCCTCAAAACAAAGATAATATCCTGTAGGGCTTTGAGCTTATGAGAAGAAAGGGAATGAGCAGATAATACCAGGTGTTATTATAACCTGTTGCCAAGAGCAGATTTGTCAAATATGGTGATTCAGTTGAAGGGAAGCGTCCACACTGCACATCTAAAGTGAGTGGTTAGAATTACACCATTCTAAACCTAGCTGTCAATAGTTATTGCTCAATTCCACTGTTGTACACCTGAGCTACTGGGCTGGTGAAAAAGCTTTAAAAGGCTCCTAGAATGTGACAGGCCATTATGAATTTATTTTAAAGTTTTTTCTAAGACTACTTAATGCCATGAAAAGTTTCACAATAGAGTATGAAGCTAAGGAAGCACATATAAGGATACGTGCAGTGTTGTTGTTGTTAGGTGCCATCATCAGTCAGTACCAACTCACAGTGACTTATATACAAAAGAACCAAGCACTGCTTGAGCCTGGGCCAACCTCACAGTCATTGCTACACTTGAGCCCATTGTTGCTGCCACTGTGCCAATCCATCTCGTTGGGGCTCTTCTTTTTTTCTGACCTTTCACTCTACTAAGCATGATGTCCTTTTCCAGGAACTGGCCCCTCCTGATAATTTGTAAGTATGAGAGACAGAGTCTGGACATCCTGGCTTCTAAGAAGCACTTTCGCTGTGCTTCTCCCCATACACATTTGTTTGTTCTTTTGGCAATCCATAGTACTTCTAATAGTCTCCTAGAGCAGTCAAGAAATCAAACAAGGCACTGCATTAGCCAAAGTGTTCAAGAGGAAAGATGTCAGTTTGAGGACTAAGGTGTGCCTGGCCCAAGCCATGGTATTTTTCAATAACCTCATAAGCATGTGAAAGTTGGACATTGAATAAAGAAGCCCGTAGAAGAATTGATGCAATACATCATTTGATGTTTTGACTGCTGCTTCCATAAGTGTTGATGGTTGATCTGAGGTCTTTGACAACTTAAATCTTTTTTCCATTTATCTTGATGTTATTTATTGGTCCAGGCGTGAGGATTTTTGTTTTCTTTACACTGAGGTGCAACCCATACTGAAGACTGTGGTCTTTGATCTTCATCAGTGAGTATTTTAAGTCCTTTTCACTTTCAGCAAGCAAGATTGTATCATCTGAATATGGCAGGTTGTTAATGAGTCTTCCTCCAATCCTGATGCCACGTTTTTCTTCATATAAACTGCATATACCAGTTAGGAAAAATGAACTCAATTTTAACAGCAACATGGATTGTTGTTGTGTGCCATTAAGTTGGTTCTGACCCATAGTGACCCTGTATAGGATTTCCAAGGAGCATCCAGTGAGTTTGAACCACCAACTTTGCAGTTCCAACTGACTCTGCAGTCCAGTGCATTAATCCAAGTGCCGTATCAGGATAGATCGTAAAAACATGGTGTTGGGTAAAAAATCAAAAGGACAAAGATTTCGTGTAAGCCCATCATGCAAACTGAAAACATTTTATGTTGTTGTTGTTGTTATGCAGGTACCATGAAGTTGATTCCAACTCAGAGCAATCCTATGTGACAAAGGAGAAATGCTCCATAGGGTTTTCTAGGCTGTAAATGTTTATAGGAGCAGATCACCAGGTCTTTCTCATGAGGAGCCATGGTTGGGTTCACCAAGCACTTAACTGTTACATCACTAGTGTGCCTTACATATTTTATAGGCACATTTAAAGCCATATACTGAATACATAGTAATGAGAGTAGATCAAAGGAGTGAGGACTAGGAATGGAAAGACATAAGAAAGAACACAAAACCAGTGAGAGGAATTGATGGTGGCGGTGGTGGTTCTGTGCCGTGGAGTCGGTTCCGACTCATAGCGACTCTGCACAGGGTTTCCGAGGCTGTAAATCTTTACAGGAGCAGAAAGTCTCATCTTTCTCCCACGGCGAACAGTTGGTAGTTTCGAACTGCTGACCTTGCGGTTCGCAGCCCGATTCATAACCACTATGCTACCAGTGATGGGTATATTCTGATTTATCTGATTCAATTTGCTCTGAGGAAAAAAAAAAAAAAAAAAAAAAAAAACAATATAAAGGAGTTCCCAACTGACCAGAGAAATAAAAATAAATACAAAGAAACAAATTGTATGGTTGTTCTTGTTATGTATCATAAAGTTGACCTGACTCTCAGTGTTCCTATGTTATCCTCACAATTATTGTTAGGTTTGAGCGCATTGTTGCAACCACTGTGTCAATCCGTCTCATTGAAGGTCTTCTTTTTTCACTGACCCTCCACATTACCAAGCATGATGTCTTTCTCTAGAGACTGGTACCTTCAGATAACATGTTCAAAGTATGTGAGATGAAGTCTTGCCATCCTCACTTCTAAGGAGCATCCTGTCTGTACTTATTCCAAAACAGAACATTCTCAAGAATATTCAATATTCTTCACCAACACCATAATTCACATGCATCAATTCTTCTTTGATCTTCCTTATCCATTTTCCAACTTTCACATGCATATGAGGAGATTGAAAATATCACAGCTTGGGTCAGACACATCTTAGTCCTCAAAGTGACATCTTTGCTCTTTACTACTTTAAAGAGGTCTTTGGCAGCAGATGTGTCTAATGCAATACGTCATTTGTTTCTTGGATGCTGCTTTTATGGGCATTGATTATGGATCCTTCCTTAACAGCTTCCATCTTTTCTCCGTTTATCATGATGCTGCTTATTGGTCCAGTTGTGAGGATTTCTGTTTTGTTTTATTTATGGTGATGTGTAATCCATATGGTATAACCTCAATATATTATTTATGTTAAAGGAAATACAATGGAAAGTACACAAACTGATTTTCTCTGGGTAGATTATAATGTGTATGTCTGCTTTCACTTTTCTATATTTCTGTATTTTCCAAATCTTCTGTATTAAGTGTATCTTGTATCATCTTTTAGGCAAAAAATATAAATGGAATTGTTACTTCTTAAAAAAGTGCAGCCATAGAAAAAATACTATGTATTCAAAAGAATGATAGCTCTATATGTATTTACATATGGATGTATATTTAAAATTTTAAAAACAAGCTACAGAATTATATATTAGCCATGACCCTGTATTTGTGTAAAAATACATATTTTTATACATACATAGTATAGATGCACATATTAGCATACAAACATACATACATATGGTGGGATCCTGGTATGGCACTGTAGGATAAGCCCTGGGTTGCTAACTACTAGGTCAGTGGTTACGACCCACCAACCACTCCTCAGAAAACCTATACAGGGTTACTGTGAGTCAGAACTGACCCAAGGGCACTTAACAACATATATATGGTATTTAAATACGGTTGTCTGTGTAAAGGAAACCACTCCAAAATTTGTTATTCAATCTTGACTAAATATTAGAATCCTGTTGTTGTTAGGTGCCATCGAATTGGTCACTGACTCATAGCAATCCCATGTACAGCAGAACGAAACACTGCCCAATCCTGGGCCAACCTCACTACTGTTACCACGCTTGAGCCCACTGATGCTGCCACTTGGCCAATTCATCTCGTTGGGGTCTTCCTCTTTTTCTCTGACCCTCCACTGTACCAAACATGATATCCTTCTCCAGTGACTGGTCCCTCCTGACAATATGTCCGAAGTATGAGAGATGAAGTTTGGCCATCCTGGCCTCCAAGGAGCACTCTGGCTGTACTTCTTCCAAAACATCTATTGGTTCTTTTGGCAGCCCATGACACTTTCAATATTCTCCTCCAACAGCATAATTCAAAAGCATCAATTCTTCTACGGTCTTCCTTATTCACTTTTAAAGATATCAGCCTGACACAAACCATTAGAATCCTGAAGCATTTTTAAAGTACTGATGTCCAGGTCACATCTCAGACTAGCTAATTTACCATCTCTGGGGAGGGGGCCCAGACATCGTATCCTTTAAAGCTCCCAAACCAGGTGTCATCTACTTGATTCCGACTCACGGCAGCCTGATGTGTGCCAGAGTAGATCCGTGCTCCAAAGGATTGTCAGTGGCTGATTTTTTAGAAATTGATAGCCAAGTATTTCTTCTGAGGTGCCTCTGGGTAGACTCCAACCTCCAACCTTCCAGTTTGCAGCTGCGTACATCAGCTATTTATGCCACTCAGAGGCGACTCCATGAAGTTCCCAACATCATCTCAATAGACAGCCAAGGCTAAGAAGCACTACTGTAGAAGAATCTACCCACTTCAAACTGTTGTCGTTGTCAGGTGCCATTGAGTCGGAACGGACTCATAGCGACCCCATGCTATGTAGACACTTCTAAGTAATGGAATTGATGAAGAACTTTCACTTTTTCTCTATCTCTATTGTTTAAAATTTTACAGCAAGCAAATAGTATTCTTATATGTAGTAAAAGAGAGAACAAGGGGATCAGGAGGCAGTAACCCTACCCCCTGACCAACCAGTGGTTACCATGGTCTTCCCTCGGTTCCTTACCTCAGCTGGGCTGCTGTACAAGGGTGTGGGACTTTGACTGAAGCCATTTGGCTTTTCTAGCACCACCTGTTCAAAGAAAAAGAAACATGGTAGCTCTGGTAGCATAGTGGTTACGAATCAGGCTGCGAACTGCAAGGTCAGCAGTTCGAAACTACCAGCTGTTCTGCGGGAGAAAGATGAGGCTTTCTGCTCCCGTAAAGATTTACAGCCTCAGAAATCCTGTACAGGGTTCGCTATGAGTCAGAACTGACTCCATGGCACATAACAACAGGCAACCAAGTCTAAAACATTTATCTCCTAAAAATAGTAAGGAGGGATGGCGGAAGCTAGGAAAAGAATTTAAAAAGAAAAAAAAAAAAAAGACTTTTCAGTGCTTTGTGGAAAAATGGGGTGGGGGAAGGGATGGAGAGTTAGGTGAGGACTTGAAAGAGACTACCCAAGTCTTTGTAGGGAGGGCCAAGGAAACCTCAGGCTAAAACCTTTTAGCAGATTAGAAAAGGCAGGTGGGCTCCATTCATTAAGGGAACACAAGCAGCTGCTTGCCACAAAACAGAAAGAGTTTCCCTTGCCCCAGGGGATCCTGACAAGATTTGACAAAGCATAAATCAAAAAGGAAAGCAACATTTGCTAAAAATCTTTCTAACACAAAGCCTGATTATTCATCCAATAACTGCTGGTTTGTGCAAACACTGGGCCTGGCCTTTTGGGCATCTCTGAGCAAAGCAGGCTCTTACTGCCATTTGACAAAGCACCTCTCAACAGCTAGGTGTGAATGCAAGCAGCGAAAACCCTACCTGCAGTCAAGGCAAAATGAATTTGGGAAAGAAGGTCTTTCACACAAACCTAGTAGAGGCCCAAACCAAGCCAAAGGGGAAATTTCCAAGTAACAGCTGCTGGGCCTCTGTTCTCATCAGAGTAACAGGGGCAGCAGCTGTTGGAGAAAGACCAGCTGACCAAAGCAAAAACGTAAATGAAGGAGTATAACTCAGAATCCAAAAGAGAATATGGTAGGGTCATGGAAGAGACACCTCTGCTCTCCCAAGGACACTTCTGTCATCAAATTTTAGAAAAGCAAGATCACAAGACTATCCATCCCAAGAAGAACTTATTCAATCAGTTCAACCTAACAAACATTTACTGTTAACTGTCTGCATTTCAGGCCCTATGTCAGCATAAACAGAGGGACAAACTCCTAGCCTCAAAGAGCTTCCATGCTAGGGTAGAGACAGCTATACACACAAATAGGTTAAGGCCAAGGCTGCCAATGTGTACCATAAGTGTCACTCAAATTAAATGAAGTCAACATATAAGAACTGTGGATTTACAGCTAATTATTGGCTTCACAAGACTGTTTTACAAGAGGATTGATCACAGAATTCTTCTATATGAGAGACTTTGCCAAGAAACTTAAGACAATTTGATTTATGTACATTCAATTTTTTTTTT